ACACTTCCAGGGATGGGCCACACCTTATCAAGGCAGCCTGTGCCAGGGCCACAGTACTCTCACAGGGAAGAATTTCCTCCACATTTCTAACCAAAACCTACCTTCCTTCAGCTTAAAGCCATTCCCCTTGTTCTATCACTACATATCCTTTTATGTGTAGATCATAAGCACAGTAAAAATGAGAATTTTAGTGAAACCAAAGCAGGCTGAGCAATCCGTGCAGGTTTCAGTCCTTGCTGCCTCCAGGTAATGGTAGATTTTGGCATTCTGGAGGTGTTTGCAAGTCTCAGATTGTGTGCTTGGACCAGACTGTGGTTTTATGGGTGTCACCAGTGAATGGCTGTGATGGCAGTGATGGCTGCTGCTCAGCCGTCCATGTACAGGTGAATGATTTTGGTTTACCACATTCTCAAAACAAGTGGAGGATTTCTTGCTTTTTCCAGCTGATTTATACAAGAGATAAATTGTTATTCTCACTTGTGCAGTTTAGTAATGACAAACCTCAGAACTGGTACTTTTGGGTGATCTAAATATGAGTTCAATTTTGGCCAACCTTAAGATGTGATTGTGTTTAAGGTRCAGCTCTGGGGTTTCGGTGAGTCATTGTCGTGAGTGGGAGGGCCATGCATGCTCTTTCAGTCTCTGTTTGTGTGTATTTACACCACCTCCCCACTTCAGGTGGGGTTAGGAGGAAAAAGGGGTAGAGAACAAAAGGTAAAGTTAATAGTTTTTTTGAAAATCCCATTCTTTTGCAGTGTGGAACATGGAAATTTTTTGCCTGTCTCAGGTATTGCAGTGTGTTGATGTGAAACCATCAAAGGTTTTGAGTCTGTTAAGTCCACAATTCATACCTGGTGGGTTCTGCAGTGGGTTGAGTTATGAGATGCTGTGTGCTCGGATACAGCCGCGGAATAAATTTCTCATACGTGTGGGACTGTGACGGTTAAAACAATCATTACTGAAACCATATACCTTATTTCCTGTAACTAATAGCAGACCTCTACCTGTGGAATATATTAACTATTATTCCTTTGGGTTTGGATGGTTGCTCAGCTGTTTTGTTGGACAGATATTTAAACGTGGTCTGTAATTTATGTTGTCTGAGTACGTCAGTGAGCAGAGCTAATTATGGCTTCCTGATGYGAGCTGTGCTGATGTTTGTGAAACCACACTTCTGTATGCAAGACAGAGTGAACGTGTRTTCTTTAATAAATTGGGGAAAACTATGGGTTTTCTCTACCTAGGTTGGTTAACAAAAATACCTAAGTTGGTGTTCAGCTAGAGTTTAAAAAGACGCCATGGTTTCTGTGGCTTGGTTGAACAGTTAATTGTTCCGTGTCTTTAAAGTCAATTTTTTATTTATTACTCTGTATAGTACTCAGACTTGCTTTTAAAAGGAAATTATTGGGTCAAACAGCAGTGGCCCTTTCAGGGGCTCCATCACTTGCCATGTTTCAGTGTGGGGTAGAGCTGCAGCAAGGGACAAAATCCTGGATGAATGTCACTGTGAGCTGCTGGCTTTGAGACAGCACCTAATTACCCACCTACACTTCTCAGTGCTTCAATATACCTCTGTATTAGTCATGTCATTTTGACACTGTTACCACTTGGAGGGATTTTTTGTTTTTCAGATAGTTTATTAATGTGTGTCCTAAAGAATGTGCTGCTCTGCATGGTAAAGACAAGAGTAGGAAATTTTCAAAGGAAAGAATCCTGCAGCCGTGTGGATGGGCTTGAGCTGTTTGAGGAACACCCAGGATTGCTGGCTCCAGAGAGGAAATACTGTAATGAGAAAGGGGAAGCAGTTCTGTTTTTCTAATATTTGTTGTTTTCTTTGAAATGGGGAAAAGAATACCTGGAGTGATTTATATTTAATTGAGGATTGCATTCCATCAGATACGGTGAATGTTCTCAGGCCATTTATCAGCTGTGTCTTTTGGAGACCTCTGAGGAGTTTATGGTACATATTTACCTTAACTTGGCTGGGTCAAGGGAAATAAAGCAAAAATAATAGCTGTTATTTTTGTATGTGAACAAAACTGGAAGTCATGTGGGTGAAATATGAGCCAAACGACTGTGTCCTACCTCCTCTGTGTCTTTCTAAGTACAAAAAATTATTAGTTATACATAATATRATTTCCTTAGCATTATCAGTGTATCTTTTAAAAACAGAAGATTTATTGACTTTTTCATTACTCTATCTTAGTCAAGCCCTGAAGTGAAGGTGACATATTGTGCTGCTATGATCCTTTAAGTA